TCTCCCTCTCCCCTCTCTCTCTCTCTCTCTCTCTCTCTGTTACGTCGGCTCTCTCGGGGGACGGTGAGATGAGGGGCACAGCACTGTAAAACGTAGAGTGACTTTTATTTCCCGAATAGAGTGACGTATAGGCTTCATCGCTCTGTTAGAGCGATTTTTGCGAAATGACTTAACATGAGTCTTCTTCGTAACAGAAAATGTCGCAGAAACGACTCTAAACGAGTGACGTTTGCGAAAATGTCTCAAAATGAGTCTTATTCGTAACCAAAAATGTCGCGAGAAGTTACTCCAAACGAGCGATGTAATTAATATCGCTCTCTCAAGAGTCGTCGAATTGGCTTCACAATATCGCTCTATTTGCATCGTATTTGGTCACTCCTTTACTTGTAGTGAGGAGGCAACACGAAGGGAAGGACAAAAGATTACTAACAGCAAAAGCAGCTCACAGATCTCCTAACCGACACCTATCTGTGCCTCGTGTCGCGGTATGCCTAGTTTGTCCTCCCGGGCCCAGCCCCTGCCCCCCCGCCCGCCTCCGGACGAGAGCAGTTAAGTCCAGTACGACGACAATTAATTACCCCCAGAGAGACCGCTCCGCTACATCGATCGCGTCGAAGTGACGAGCCCGCTCGCCTAGGACGACGACGGCATTCCGCCAACACGCTGTACGCCGTAATAGCAAATCGCGAGGGCCGCGGAGGGCCGGCGCGAGCACGCACAGAGGGCCCCCGGCCCCCGCACAGGGGCCCGGCCGGGGTAGCCACGGGGGCCAAGGGGGGCGACCGGGGGGCCACCCACCGAGACAGCGGGACCAATTTAACCGTTTGTCGTTAAGACATTTATTTAATGTGAGAGTGTGCGTGCGTGTGCGTCCTTTTACTCGCAAAGAGACCCACATGGCCCCGCGCCGCCTGCCGCCGCTGCTGCTCCCGTCGCTTCCTCAATGAATGATATATTAGTTCGCACGTCCGGGATTCGGGCCCCTCCCGTCCCCCTCTCCCTGCCCTCCTGCCCCCTCCCCCCTTTCCATTCTGTCGCGCGTTTTGCGGAGCCTCGCCGCCTCGGGCCTAAATGCATTCACGCGCCGTGTGTGGCTGGCCGGC